TCAAAACACGCGGAGAATTATTTGATCATAAAACCCAACAAGTATTGTTGTTTAACCAGTTCTCATTTCACGATACATTTCTAAAATTAGTTTTAATCCGGTCACATGTTTTTAATAAGACAGTACTCATTGTAAAACAATTTTCAAATCGACCTCCGAGGACTATGAGTGCAGAGATCTTCTCGGTCACCAATATTTATGCCACATTTTTAATTCGATTGCAAATTGAATCACCAAATTTGTTTGAAAAACTGTTGCCAATTATCTGTGCTTAAACCGTCATGACTAAACGACCGATTGAACCAACTCAAATTTGAGTTTCGTTGGCTCAAATTCTCCAAAACGTAAGTTACTCATAGAATGAGTAAAATTTTCCTCGATTTTCCAGGAAAAGCTTTACGAATATGACGAAAATCGAGAGTGGTTTCACTCAGACTATTAGTATACTTCTAGGCTGTGTAAAATTTTCGTCGTTTTTTCCTCATTATCCAAGCAGGAAAATTTTACTCAATCTATGAGTAATCCGAAGGGGGTAACTCTATCTACGATGCAGGAAAGATTTTGTTTTACTGTCGTTAGCTGCGCGCACGCTGAGTAGATAAAAAGAAAATTGTTGGCAATTTTGAAGATTTTCTTCAAAAAAAATGATGCACGATGCAAGTAGATGCGAGAAATGAAATAAGATTTTTCCTAGATTGATATTTCGAGCATCTAGAATTGCGATTTAGATAGGATGCCCCCCTCGGAGTAATCTGCATTTTTGCTTGTGTGAAAAACCACTCAATTTCGAGTCGATCTCATCGGCCGTGCATCGTTTGTGTCTGAAACACGCTGTAACGGTGATTTAACGATGTAATAACCGGGCAGATTCGCTTGGCAAATTTTACCATCTGAGAAGGCACCGCCCGGCTTGCAGTGATTCGCGTCCTATAATTACCGGCAGAGTGCAATAAATTATAGTGTTTCATGTTCTCTGCTAGTTCGGTGTCGTGAAGTCAGCGCAAACAATTGAAAATTATATTTTTAAACCCCAGTGCCTCGAGCCAGACCGATTCTGCAAATTTAAGTTCATAAACCGTTAATTCAGAAAACATTCCTTGACGATCGCAGCAGCGGAGCGTCATACAAATTACCGAGAAATGCCCTCACATTTTATCAATGAATAATAAGTCTCCATCCCGCAAGGGGGTTAGCTTTCTTTTTCCTTACCAAATAAGATGAGACAACTCCAAATTCCACTCTCGCTTTCTCCCCGAATTGATGGATACAGTGAACCGTCAAATTCGCTCAACATCAGCTCCCACACGCACGTCGTTACTGAATCCATTTTGTTCTGGATGCCTTTTTTTGGGTCTGGAATTTTAAATAAAATAAATAAATTGATCACATTGTTCTTCTGAGCACCGGTAGAATCGCACTAATCTACTATTATGTTCATGATGGTGGTGGTACTCTGATAAATCAGTGGCAATAATGTCAGTTCGTGACACTTTTGGATCGAATGAAGCCTGGCGAAAAAAATGTCATTGAAAGATTGCGTAAAAAGTGATTAATACTAGGTACTTTGGAAATGCAATGACTAATTGGATTGTCTAATTTAGAAAAACAAACCGGCTTTTATACAGCATCTGCAAGACCTACGATATTTTTATCGACACCATAGACATTCATCTCAATTTTTAAATCAAGGTTGGAATCTTTATTTTTGACACTAAATTTATACTAAGTCCGTCCGAGGGGTGCTAAGATGGTGATTTTTTTCTAATGTAATTGCACTTATTTGAAACAGTTCCAGTGTACCAAATTTTATGAAATTTTGGATTTCGGTTCCATTTTTAATGCAGATTACGAATATGTATTTACCTCAATACCCCTAAATAACCCAACTGATGAATTTATGTGACGATCGACCAGCAGATGTAAATGATGTTATTTTTATGGATAATTTTTTAGTACATCATCAGTTTTGTAATTGCAGATTTGAAAACTAGGTGTCGTATGGCCAGTTTGCTTTGCTTAAAGTCGTCAGTTTTGATCTTTTCACTACTGACAGCATGGTGCCACCTTAAGCCTGGTACGCAGCAGAAAAGTAATAACGTTTTTACGTGCTACGGGATTGACAAATTTACGCAAAGGTAAAACAGGCCATGCGACACCTAGTTTTCAGATTTGCAATTACAAAACTGATGATGTACTATTATATAATATATTCCATATGATTTGACAGGTAGCAAAACGTCATTATCATTTTCTCATCATTTCCATCTGCTGGTCGATTAAACGTAACGTAAATTCATCAATAGGACACGGAATGGTAAAGAAATTACTTTTCCTTAGCATTTCTTGACCCAGTACGCAGTTTAGCCTGGTACGCAGCTGAAAAGTAATGACGTTTTTACGTGCTACGGTATAGGACACGGAATGCTAAAGAAATTTCTTTTAATTAGCATTTCTTGACCCAGTACGCAGTTCAAAAGAAATCGGTAAAGGAAAGATCGATTACATTAGTATCGTGATCGATATGAAGGTGGCGCATTCTGAATGCAATTTCATTTTCCTTGCGGAATAATGGTCTGACCAATTATTCCGTTAGGTAATTTTAACGTTTGTTGTAAAAATGATGTTTTGGATGCATTTTAACAACATAAAAATTGATAATTGTTGATTTTAAAATTAGACGACACCTACCTATGATCTCAAAATTTAGCAAAAGACACCTCCCTATAGCTGTCAAATTTACTTTTGGGAATATTCCTCAAAAATTACTTTTCCGTTTTCTTTTCAGCTGCGTACCAGGCTTTTAAAAGAAATCGGTAAAGGAAAGATCGATTACATTAGTACCGTGATCGACATGAAGGTGGCGCATTCTGAATGCAGTTTCACCAACCGGTGAACACTCGTGTTTATTTCAGCTACTGTGGGGACGTAATTTGTGATTAGCCCCGGTCCCTTTCAAATAGTATCATTATTTATGTACGGTCCTTATATTTGAAATGACGTTTGACATTCATCCAGTGATGGCCGATTTTCATTCTAATAATCGATTAGTCGATTAACGAACCGAAAAGTAAAATATTTGTAATCGGTTATATCAAGCCGATATAAGCATTAACTTCTCCAGAGGATCATCACCCATCGTTTCAAACATGTTCTGTACTCTCATTGGTGAAAAAATGACAGCACAGCGATCAAAAAATAGTCGATTAGTTGTTAATCGAATAATTAAAAAATGGGACATCTCTGATTTTGGTGTGATTGTTTTGATAAAAAAAAGAGCGCAAAATTTCATCTCTACCGAAGGGCAGCAAAAAAACAACAAAATTACCTTGCATATGGGGGGTATTGATTTGATGAAAGGGACCGTGAAAGAGGACACTAAAATAGAAAGTTCTTCTTCCGACTGTTTCATCTTAGTATTCTTCTTTGGTTTCACTTTCCTTGCGGAATAATGGTCTGATCAATTATTCCGTTAGGTAATTTTAACGTTTGTTGAAAAATTGATGTTTTAGATGCATTTTAACAACATAAAAACTGATAATTGTTGATTTTAAAATTAGACGACACCTCCCTATGATCTCAAAACTTAGCAAAAGACACCAGCTGTCAAATTTTCTTTTGGGAAAAATCCTCAAAAATTGCTTTTCCGTTTTCTTTTCAGCTGTGTACCAGGCTTTAAGCCTGGTACTGAAGTTCTTAGAAGTTTGCTGAACTATTTTTAGATACAAATTTGCCTGCACATTTTTTTGACGCAGGACTACATCTGTGATTTCTTTATGGGGGTACACTTTGTGAAAACCAAAAATGGAACATGTAACAAAATTATGAAAGATTTTGAACGTTAATAACTCAGCTGCCTCTGGACCAATTCAGTAATTTTATCACCAATCGATCAAAAATATCTCTACGCATCGATAGAAATGCTTCTGATTGTTGATGTTCAACAAGAAACTATTGAAAAATTTATAAATGTCAAGCATTGTCCAAAAGCGTCGAAATAACTAACAAATCCACCAATTACGTACATGCATATGCTGCTTCCCCAACACTGTCATCAGTTAGTACACGAAACAAGTCGAAGTGGCATTCGCCTCCGATCTTCGGACGTGTGCGAATAGGGAGGATGCAATTGCCTAACATTTTTTACACTCATCACCATATTCAGAACCACACGCCCCCAATCACCAGTGTAATCTTGTAACCAAATTGGAAGCAGGGGTGTAAGTGATTTTGATCGATTCTCTTCATCAACTTTCTGTTTCGTTAATAACTCGACGGCAATCACATTCATTGATACCTTTGTTGTTCTGAATGATAGAAGAGCATAGCAGAAATAATGCGAAATAGGTTAGTGAAGCCATGATCATCAAAAGAGGAAATCGATGAAGAGAATTGACTTTCACCCCTCTACTTCTAAGCTTCTACATAATGAACAGGTAGGGAGCTTGTATGTTATTCCCTGAACTATTCCAGGCTCATGAGGCTTCAAAAAAGTGTCCTGAACTTATATGAAGCTCCTCTAAAAATAATGAGATTCCCTGAAATGTCTAGAATTTCTACTAAGTTTCGTTATTTTTTACGAATTTCCATAAGGTTAAAGAAAAATCCTAAACTTTTGGTCAATTTGTAGAGCCTGAAGACGTTTAAATCTGAAATTTCACCCTTGTATTTCTGCAGCAAACACTGAGTAGCATTTTCATCTAGATTCATTATAAGTAGATACTCAGTTGTTTGCCCGAGAAAATGAGAAGTGACGAGACGATGCAGCCTTCTGTAAACCGTGTCCTTAAAACCAATCGTTTGTTTACTCACTGACTGAACTGACTGACTGACTGAAATATTTAGCACAATCGCTCGTCCGGATGAGAATATTTATACTGCAATTTGAAATCTTTATCTGATCCCTGCCACATTCCATGAAAGACACGTTAAGCTACTGCTGAGACTCAATTCGAGCATATAATTATAATCCAAACATCCGCTTCTTCCCTCCCTCCAACCAGGTGCATTGGCGTACGCTGAGTTAGGCACGATGAACACATCCTCCGGAGCAGAATGGGCCTACTTCATGGACGCATTCGGCGCCTGGCCGGCCTTCCTGTTCTCGTGGGTCTCGACGTTGGTACTCAAGCCATCCCAGATGGCCATCATCTGCCTGTCGTTTGCGCAGTACGCCGTCGAAGCCTTCGTTGCCGAATGCGATCCACCGTTGACTGTTGTGAAAATGGTTGCAATATTGGCGATTGGTGAGTATCCCGTGGAAAATCGGGAATTTATTTTGTACTGAGTACGATAGTTAAGTAGGTCAAACTTTTGTCCTTCCCGAATATCATGAGCTCTCAGTTTAAGTTTGTGTTGAATTGATCCCGCTTTTTTATTTTGCGTTTGAAACCGTCAGCGAACTATTTTTAATTTTCTGTTACAGAATCACGGTTTACCTAAGTAACATATAATAGTATGAAAGTGTAGGCGTGATTCGGCAGCAGACACGAGAGAAAGGATTCTCCCGACAGCTAGGCCCCCTTGCCCCTCCCGACTGCCGAGAGATGGCCATATGCAGGACCGGAACAGCCCAGCATCACTGCAGGGAATCTCCACATGTCCTATTACTTTATAGTTCAGCTTTCTCCTAGCGCTATAAAAAGATCTTTTCTTATAGACTGGCACCTGTAAAACCGTACAAAATGTTCGTGTCTCCTCTGTTGTCTCTGTATCTGTATGGTGGTTCTCCATGGTCGGTGCATGTATGCCTAGTGCTGTGCGATCCAATATGTCAGTCACACGGCACGGCGGCATACCGGGGCTGACTCGAGATCCCGTAGGCAAGATCAAGCTAAGAATCTCCGTAGCAACTGCTACGGTGTCATCAACGATTCATCATGCATCATCGAGTATACGACCATTGGTCTTCATCATCTTCGACATCATACTCATTCGTTTGAATCTATTCGAGCTAAAGGGTAGGATCATTTTGCATAGAGACCAACGGTCCATTCCTCATGGCCGGTCTCGCTATGCAAAATGGATCGCTCTTCCTATGGACATTTTTTTCTGTTCAGATCAAAACTAAGACCTCTTGTTTGTCTCTTCTCTTCCGCATTGCTGTGTCGTCGTCGTCGTCGTTGATCAACTAACTACCACCGCCACCTTTTCATCGTCGTCATGCAACCGTTGCTGTCTGCCTACATTGGCCTACTGTAGTGAGCATTTTATTTGTAAATTGTTATAGCGTTAATTTAGGGATGGCAGTACAAAATGTCTTTACCTCTGCAAAACTGGTTGCGGTGCTGATCATCATTTGCGGCGGCGCCTACAAACTGTTCCAAGGCAACACCCAACATCTACAGCATGCATTTAGCGGACCGACGCCGTCGCTCGGAGCGATCGCGACGGCCTTCTACACCGGTCTGTGGGCCTACGACGGGTGGAACAATCTGAACTACGTCACCGAGGAGATCCAGAATCCGAGCAAGTGAGTGACCATCAAAAGAAACTCTTTTAATCGTAAATAAAACAATGTCCAACCCAAACCTTAGGAATCTACCCCGCTCGATCATCATCGGCATTCCGCTGGTGACGCTGTGCTACGCGCTGATCAACCTGTCCTATCTGGCCGCCATGTCCGCGACCGAGATGATCGAATCGGAAGCCGTGGCGGTCACCTTTGGCAACCGTATCCTGGGCGCGCTGGCTTGGCTGATGCCGCTCAGTGTCACCATCAGTACATTTGGCAGCGCCAACGGAACCCTGTTTGCCGCCGGAAGGTATGTCCCATTAATCGTGGCTTGATAGGTAGATGATTATCTGCCAACAATTTACTGCTTGCAATGGTACAATTCATTAAATCGAGAAGCGAACAAGGCGGAAAGTAAACAAAAATCAATCATTATCCGTCGTCGCCCGTCAACGAAAAACGGAGGAGCAGCAAGACAGCATTACAATAGTTTCGAGTCGATGCTATTAGTGAACAACCAAGCGTCTCCATTAAACATTGTGGTTTCATGGCTGTATTTTGGTTCATTTCCAGGCTGTGTTTTGCCGCTAGCCGCGAGGGACACTTGCTGGATATTCTGTCGTACGTGCACGTTCGCCGTCTGACACCGGCTCCCGGACTGATTTTCCACGTAAGCCACCCCCGCTATTCCACCCCAAAGCACATCAACAATTAATCACATATTCTTCCTTCGCAGTCGTTGATTGCCGGTGCGATGGTCATGTACGGCACCATCGACTCGCTGATCGATTTCTTCAGCTTCACGGCCTGGATCTTCTACGGTGGCGCGATGCTGGCTCTGATAGTGATGCGTTATACCAAACCCAACTACCCGAGGCCCTACAAAGTAAGACCCCGACCCACATTTCCGCAGGAGATTACATTATTCTTTTTCGCTCGCAGGTTCCAATTATCATTCCAATACTGGTTATGATCATTTCCGGTTACCTAGTGGTGGCGCCCATCATCGAGAAGCCACAAATCGAGTACCTGTACGCAGTGATGTTCATCTTTGCCGGACTCATCTTCTACGTACCGTTCGTGCTATGGGGCTACCATCCCAAGTTTATGGGTGAGTGTTTATTGTATCAAAGGCGTCATGTGTCTTAAAAGTTGGTTACTGCAGCTAAAACCGTCTGAGCACATTTTTCTTTTTAGTGATAGGGTTAAGATCTCATTTTGGGCCTACTTAGTACAACCCACACTTTACCTATCGTTTTCAAGCGGACCTTAACACAAAATGGAATGTTTCTACTATAGATGACTTCTAAATTTATTTACCTTTCCACACGTACCATTATATTTGATAAAGAATCACAAATTGTTGAGATATTGTTAAAAATCTTGATTCTAAATTCGTCCTACAGATGAAGGCAAAAATGGAATGGAGAAATGAATTTGCCGAATGTCGTTTGTTGGCCGATATTCAGCAAAACATTTTCCGAGATTCCAAAGCAAACGTCACATTCACTGAGATCTCAGACTGTGTTCCATTTGGAGAATTTCCACTTAAATTTGACTGATGGAAAATGTTCAAATAAACCTCCCTAATAAAAATAACCATATACGAACGATAACCCAAATAATTGAACTGTTCCACAAATAGTTTGGAAGATACCCAGAACACATAGTTAAGCAAAATAACCATAACTATTTTGTTAGGGCTGCTATTCCAGCAGACTTATTTCTGACAGACAAGGAATCAACTTTGATAGACGCTTTCTCGAAAATCGGCCGATCAACAACAGAGGGATTTTCGAACATCGAACAGTGTGAAACCGAACTTTTTGAACTGCGAACCTCAACCTGAGGTAGGTTTTAAAAACAAACCATCAAACTAACGTTTGTCAGTAAACAAGCAGACCCATATCTCCATACCAATTTGTGACTCTAGTAAAAACTTTACCCTCTCTCTTTTTTTTTAACTAGTTCGTTTATTTGGAAGGCTCAATCGCGTTAGCTTTAAGGAGCCGATAGTTCATTGTTCTTTGTAACAAAATTCTCTTAATTCTATGTCTAGTAGGAGTTGAGCCGAATACTCGCGGCTTACTCGAGGTTAGAGAGGTACATTGTCGAAGGATAGGATCAGGGGAGGAGCTTGGGAGTAAGGTTTCATTGTCTCATCAGAGCGTTGTCGCCAGTATGAACGGTAGTGCAGTTCTAATTTCGTCTGGAGTTCGACCGGCTATGGTGACCAGTGGGTGACGATGAGACTCATCGAGACGGGGGGACAAAACAAACAAAAACTATTAAAGAGAGATAAAAGACAAAGGAATTAAATTCTTATACTAGACATTTAAATAAACACATAAACCGACTGCATATAGCAGATATCGCGAGTTCCCAATGACGTATCTGATAGGAACATAGGGTTGTCTTCCTTGGGCCTCGAGGGTATTCAAAAGTCGCTCTCTGGCAGCGTCATTATCCGTACATTACCAAACTGCGTGATCGATGTCATCGTAACCGTTTCCACACCGACAGATGTTGCTGTCCACGAGGTTTATTCTATTGAGATGAGCATCTAGCGAGTAGTGGTTGGACATAAGTCTACTCATCATGCGAATGAAGTCACGACTTAAGTCCAAGCCTTTAAACCACGCTATCGAAGAAACATTAGGAATAATTGAATGTAACCACCGTCCAAGATTTCCATTGTCCCAATCAGTTTTCCAACTCGAAAGGGTACTCTGACGCACTAAATGGTAAAATTCATCGTGTGAAATTTGCCTGTCATAAAATTCGCCTTCCTGCGCGCCCACCTTTGCGAGAGACTCCGCCTTCTCATTGCCTGTGATTAAGCAATGTGAGGGGACCTATACAAAGGTAATCATATATGTATGATCTTTCGACCAGTACACTCATCTGCTCCCTTACCTTTGAAAGCAAATAAGATGAGTGCCTACTTGGTTTCATCGACCGAATAGCCTCAATCGAACTGAGACTATCCGAGAAGATGAAGTAATGGTCTGCGGGCATGTTGGAAATCATCCCCAATGCGAAGTTGATTGCTGCCAGCTCAGCAACATAAACGGAACAAGGTTCCTGAAGTTTGCGGAAGGTGCTAGAGTTTTCATTGAAGACACCGAAGCCAGTGGATCCATTGAGACGTGACCCGTCTGTAAAATATCTTTTCACGCAATTGACGTATTGGTACTTTTCAGTAAAAATACGCGGGATAATAATAGGTCGAAGTTGATCGGGAATCCCATGAGTTGCTTGTTTCATGGTCAGATCATATTCAATTGAGGAACTGCGATTGGTGAAGTGAACACGGTCTGGAGTATAACAAGGAAGACACATATCTGACGATATGTAGTGGTGGTAGATTCTCATAAATCGAGATTGTGTGTTCAGCTCAAGAATTTCTTCAAAATTTTCAATTATAAGTGTGTTCGTCACTCCGCATTTGATTAGTATCCTGAGAGAGAGAGCTCCCAGAAACGGTTCTGGAGGGGTGTTACTCCTGCCAGAACCTCGAGACTCATGTTATGCGTTAAGTGCATACAGCCGAGAGCAATACGCAAACAACGATATGGAATTCGTTCCAATTTTATTAGGTGACATTTTCTTGCCAAGAGAAAGCAGAAAGAGCCGTACGCTAGAACAGAGAGAAAAGTTGTTTTGTAAAGTGTTATGAGGTCTCCTTAATCCTCTGCTGACATTTTTGCTTCAAATACGTAATATGGGTATTTCAAGTGCATTATTATTATTATTATCTCTATTTACGAGATTTTCAGCCGCCATTCCAAGTGCACTTTGAATCAAACCAGACCCCAAAGTACTCGAAAGACAATGATTGAGTAATGTTTCTGCCCAAAAGATTAAGCTGCATTTGGGCTGGGTACCGCTTTCGAGTAAACACTACCAGTTCAGTTTTCTGCGGCGAGAATTCGATCCCTAGATTCCTAACCCAAGACGACAAGTTATCTAAGGAACTTTGCAATGGTCCTTGCAAGTCCACGGCACGTGGACCTCTTATGGAAACCACACCGTCATCTGCAAGTTGTCTATAAGCGTGCATTGTTCTGCCAAACAGTTGTCGATATCTTTGACATAAAAGCTATAAAGAAGAGGGCCTAGGGGCAGGCCCATGTAGCTAATTCTGGAAGTTGTCAGTTTTCCAAGGGAAAAGTTCATTTGCTTTTCTGACAACAAATTGTACATGAAATTACTTAAAATTCCAGAAAGTCCACATCTGTGCAGATTGTCTGACATAATTTCAATGGAAACTGAATCAAAAGCCCCCTTAATGTCCAAGAATACTGAAGCCAATTGCTGCTTGTGCGCAAAGATCAGTTGAATATCTGTGGAAAGCAGCGCTAGACAATCGTTTATTCCTTTACTCTTGCGGAACCCAAGCTGTGTATTTGATAGCAAGTTATTTGTTTCGACCCACTGATCGAGTCTCCGAAGGATTATTTTCTCCAACAATTTCCTAATGCACGAAAGCACCGCAATCGGACGGTATGAGTTATGGTCAGACGCTGGTTTGCCAGGTTTTCGAATGGCTATTACTTTGACCTGTCTCCATTCAGGTGGTATAATGTTGTTTTCTAGTAAGGAATTGAATAAGTCTAGAGCGGTTCCATATCATTAAAGCAACGAGTAATTTTCATCTTTTTTGATTTGCATGAAACCTTGCATACAAGTTTTTGGGGAAGAAAAACGCCGTTTCGCATACTTGGTTCGCCATTTTGAATCTAGCCTTACTTATGAGAAGGGCCTATGAAAAATGCACATGATATCTTCAAAAAATTGTATCTCGGAAACGGTTCGTCCGATTGGTTTGGTGTCTTGGGCGAAGTTTTAGACAATTGTTGGTGTTATATGGAGAAAATATGCACGGTAAAAAAAAAGTTTGGTATTTGTGTTTTGAACTAAAATATAAATTTTCCCTTTAAAGTGACATGTCAATAATTTTTTTATTATCCTTATGTTATAGCTGACTGAAAATGCTATCTAGTGCACAGTAGGTTGTTCTGGAGAAAAATAGGCTACGATGAAAAAAATCGTTTTTTAAAAAAATACAATTTTCAAAAAAGCTATTAAGAAAAGTCAAAAAAGTTTGTCACCCTAATTTTATGAAAGTAAATCAAATTTGCAAACAAAAAGTACCTCGGTAACATTTTTCTAAGATGCACCGTTTAGAAGATATTACTGATTTAATATTGTTTTTTTTTGATAACTTAATAAGTTTTGGCCCTTTTCGGATGTACTCCGTGTTTTTCCAGTTTTAAAAGTATTTTTTTCGGAAAGATTGGAAAATTTTGAGTTAAAATGACACTGACAGCTTAAAGATTCGAGTGAAATTCTCTGCCTTAAAAGTATTTTGAAAAACAAGTTACAAAATCCCACTATCAGGAACAATGATTTCTTCAAATGATTTTTGGTGCGTTGTGCTGAAAATGTGCATTCAACTCTTGCATATCGCCTAACAGTTTAATCCATTTAAACTGGATGTGTTTATACTGTGCATATTTTCTCTCTATTGCCGAACATCGCCACAGACATCAAACCGATGAGACAACTCGATTTCGAGATACACCTTTTTGAGAACTGCAAATGTAAGCTCCTCAATTAGCAAGATTCAAAAGAGCGAATTAAGCTTATTTTTCAGGGATGGTGATTGTGCGCAATAAAAAATAACATTATATGTTGGATATCATCAGTTTATTTTTATTCCTGTATTTTTATAAAATTATTGTTTACACAACTTTCTTAACAATATTGAATATTTTGGCATCATTGTCAGGACAGTTTGAATAAAGCTTTGCCTGTATTGTATTTTCTTATAGAGGAAGAAATGAGTGGAATTTTAGAGTTCCTTGAATTGTTTTTGCATTATTATATTAATTATTTAGCTGCAAAGACATATTTTCGTATTCTTCTGTAGTAGAATAACAAAATGACAACTTTGTAAGTTCTTCTTCTTTTCGTTTGTTTGCCCAATTAAACAACTCTCTTGCAGTCTTTATCGGGTGTTCGCGTTCTTTGGCTAAACTTGCTCTGGTAGCCATGCGTTTTATCGTACCTCCAATAGCATCGCATGGACCTTTTCCGTGCGATGTT